GACTTGGCTCTGCCATCTGGCCTGGGGCAGGGAGGGAGGATGTCAGAAATGGGGTTGGCTATCCCCTTAGCGGCCTGGTATGGCCTCTATTGGCCTCTTGGATCTTTTAATCTCTTTTTATCCCTGTGTGGTTCTTTTTATAACTTTTAATCATGTATTGATGATTTTAATTTGATGTAAGCCGCCCAGAGTCCCCCATTGTGGGGAGATGGGTGGGGACAAGTTTACTAAATAAATAAATAAATAAGTAAGTAAATAAATAAATAAATGTTGTCATTCTCAATCGCTTGCAGAGAATGGAAGGGTAAGTGTTTGAAAAGCTGCAGTTTGATATAGCTTATTCCTGTAAACTGGTATGTGATTCTGGTATTTTCTAGATGTTTCTGCACAACAACCTCCAGGGACACCAGACAGAATATCTAATAGTACAAGGCAAGGGAATAAATGCAAAAGCCAGAAGTTAAGCTTAAACATTTGTTTTATTTACTTAGATTTATACCCTGCCTTTTGTACAGGCGCACAGGGCAGCATACATGGAGCTCTTTCCTACTTTTTCCCCACAACAACCCCGTGAGGTAGGCTCACTTGAGAGTAACTGCCTGGAAGTTATCTAGTGAGCTTCTGTGCCTGACAGCAGACTAGATCTCTTTGCTTCTAGTTCAGTACTCTAATTGCCACACCACAATAGCCTGAACTGGACTGTACAACTGGAAATAGGAATTCTGGTTGGAAGGACTTCTGTGCTGATTTTACAAATATGCCAAAAAAGACAGTTAAGATTATTTTTATTAATAAAGAAATATATTGTGCAACACTCTTCCAAGGAGTGGACTTGACTAAAGAACAATAGCAATAGATCTGCAATCCCAACCTTAAGTAACTGCAAGAGATTGTACCATATTAGTGACAACTATCTCCACTCCAACCAGCTGACAGAGTCAGTTCTTCAGTCCTTCTTACATTTAGTTTTCAATCTCAGCAAGGGTAGTGGTTTCCCTTTGTTTGCTCTACATATATTTCTTCCTCTCAAGTACTTACGAGCTATGAAGAACATAACGCAGCCTCTCCCACCCCACAGATTTTGAAGAGTGAAGAGAGAGAGAGAGAGAGAGAGAGAGAGAGAGAGAGAGAGAGAGGGAGAGAGAGAGAGTTATTTGTTCCACCTGCTATTGAAGCAGATAAAGAAAAGAGAGAAAAGCAAATGTACTCACCAGGCATCAGGCTGCTAAAAGCCACAGTTCTTTGTCCCACAAAATCTCGGCCAATGGGGTCATGATCCCAAACTAGAAATCGAACCAATGCTATTTCAGGCATATGGATAGTGAAAGTCAGAGTTTCTTCCCAAACAGGATTGAATCCTGTGAGAAGCAAAATATACAGCAAATGTTAGGGTAGCATTAATAAGAGAGAACTGCATATGAGATTAACAGACCCGTGACCACCTACATGTCAAATCTAAGACGAATTTTTTTTAATGAAGAACTAGTTATACAAATGGATAAACATTACGGCATCCAATAAAAATATTCGTGCCTTGGGTTATTTTAAATTAATTTCAATCACTTGCAAAGTTCCATGAAAACTAAGCTTATATATCATTGTATATCATAACTTCATCTCAACATTAAAAAATCCTAAGCAGGATCCTTGGCTATGTGTGTAACCAAATACAGTCCTGCCTTGATTCTGATTCCAAGAAGAAGTAGCAGGTCAAGTGCATTATCTGAGCATTCCATTGACCCCACAGGCTGAATTTTGACTGACCGACTGCCCCATCCGTTTGTCTAACATCACCCACATTATAGCCAAGCCTACGCTATAGCCTAATCCACCAAGATCAAGGTTTCCAGAATCTGAGACTTCCAAGTCAGGATCTCTGGAGCTCCAGTCCCAAAACAGATGGCAACAGAAGAGGGAGCTAGGCTGGGAAACAAGTCCATTCCATCATCCCAGCTGAAAGACCATTTTTATCCAGTGTCACTTCTCTGTGAACTGTATCCTGCTTGAAGAATTAATATTGAAATGCTCCCTCTTCTCTCCTCTTCCTATTCTACCTTTTGTTTTAAACATGGATGCTCAGCTTATGGCCCTCATGCAGCCCCTAGCCTCCCATTTACAGACCTCAATGTGCCAAGAGATCATGACATCAAAATTGAGAACCAAAATGGCTAAATTTTGGCGGCACAGTTTTGGGTGAACAACTGAAAAATAAGAGTAGGAATGTAAGAGCAAGGGCTCTGGAAGATGAAATATTCTCCCCTTGAGTTTTCCCAAACTCACAAGTACCCCAGAATGAGCCACAAATTATTGGTTCCACCCTTTGAAGTGACAATACTTCCCATGACCTACTGACTCTCCAGAGGATAGCAGTCTTAGGCTGAAAAATGTTGCCGATGCATTTTAAAATATCATAGATTCCATTCTGGGAATCTTTATTTAAATACTTTATATAAACAATATACTCTATACTTCTTCCCTGTCCTGTTTGTTGCACATTGCCTAAATGAATAAAAAAGGACAAAGTAAGGCATTTTGAAGCGTGTAATTCCAAAATGCCTTATCCAGAAAGCAGAATATTAAAGTCAAGAGTAAAAACAATGTTATCTATCAGAAAATATTGCTGAAGCTGAATAAAGCAGGACAAGCAATAATTTTTTTAACCTGACATTGGTGATGGTGGAAAGTCAATAGCCTTTGACAAATAATATTTTTTCTTAGCCTTTCCAGGTTGTTGGTCATACTTCTGAATACCTTAATACCTAATCAAAATGTTATATGACTTCATTTTGTAACTCTTATAACAGAAGCTAACAAGAGTTGTTTTTATAATTTTTAAGGACAAACTGCTGGCATCAATACCTGCTCTTCTCTATTTATAGAATATGCATTTCTTTTGCAACGACTGTGATTTAAGTCAATTGCATTGACCTTATCTGCTTAGATAGTCAGGTTCCATCTCAATTACTTACAGTAATCCTTTCAAATACAGTATCTGAAGGGCTCTCATTTTAAACATGAAGCAAGTTATGTTTATTGGAGCAAGAAAAATATTTCAGCTAAGCTTTAGGAGAAACTTCTTTAATAATAATAATAATCTTACCTTATTATAAAATAATAATCTTAATGACAATTTCATTAATGAAATAAACAACTCTGGTTGATAATAAGCCCTCCTTCAATGGAGGGATCTAAATAAGAAACTTATTTATTTTATATTGTCATGGATGATGTTGTTACATTCTGCTGCAGATCTTGGATTGAGGAGTAGGTTGGACCAATGAATAACCATGGTCTTCTCTGGTGGCATGCTTACAGGGACTTACAGTTGAGCCACTTCTGCATAGGGCCTTGTGGAATCTCTACCAAGTATCACATTCCATTGTTCAGTATTAATGAACAGCCATACAATATAATGCCGCTTGATGAAGATGATAATCATAAATATGTCCAGAACTTCAACTGAAAAATAATTCCACAAAACTGGGAAGAAAGATGCAGAAGCTTCTGGATCCAAACAGAACCACCTAATCAGGAAGTTTGGCTATAATATGAAATCCTAATGAATTTTAGGCAACTGTATAAACACAAAAGAGCCAGTTTGGTATAATGGTTATGACACCAGGGTAAAAGACTGGGAGTTCTAGTTCTGCCTTAGGCACAAAGCCAGCTGGGCGACTTTGGGCCGGTCACTCTTTCTCAGCCCTAGGAAGAAAGCAATGGCAAACCACTTCTGAAAATTTTGCCAAGAGAACTGGCAAGGACTAGGGACTACTCCAGGCAATCGCCAGGAGTCAAGGTTGACTTGAAGGTAGTCCCTCCCCTGCAAAAAGTCAGACAGCAATAGAAGCCTTTTCTTGTAAACTTAAAAAATTCAAAATACTGTTCAGTTATTTCACTTCTGCCAGTAATATATTAGATCCGCTGATTTTAATACTATTTTATCAAATTCATGTATTTGAAGACAACTTCATATAATCCTGTCCCCAGAAAATGATTTGCACAAAAATTGATGTGCATAATCTGGGAAGCTTCTATATACAGATTCCGTCCATTACTTGGTGATTGGCATCATTGAAATCTTGAGTAGAAGCCTACAGCTTTATCTGATGACCACAGAGCCTACAAGTTGTAGCTGACTGCATAAACACATCATTCAGGACACTAGATGAAATCATTTTGTATTGAGTTTTCTGCCCCAAAATATATCTATATATAGCTTCACTTTGCTTGGCAAAGAGATATTAACCATCTTGTATAGGCTGCTCTCATTTTGAGCTTCTATCTCACTGTCAATCGAGTCTGGAAGACACCAGAAATGTATTAGCAGACCACAGATTCAAATTGTAAATGATTTTCTATATCTTTAGTCATATACTAACATATTCTTGCTGCAAGGTGTATTACTTACCATTATCATCTACAACTCTGGTCTGGTCTTTGCAACAATCAGCTGGTAACCCAATAATTTCAACTTCAACAAATGGATCAATTATCTGCTTGAGACATTTTAGAAATACAAAATTTACTTGAGACATGTTTGGAAATATCTGAAGTAAACATTCCATCTTTCTTATATTGCACATAAAGATTTTATAGACCGAGTAAACTATTGCATTAGATTATAGCTATATTACAATTATATCACAGCTTTGACATTCAAACTAAATGTTGAGATTTGAATTTAATTAGATGATGAAATGAGGACCATTTTGCTAACTAGATGTATTTTACAGTAAGGAATGGAAGCAGAAAAGGTTTCTTGAAGCTTTGGTTTTTAAAAAAGCTCTGCCAGATATCTTCTGTGGTAACTTTTTTTCTGATTGTCAGACAGTGTATTTTTATTACCACAATGTTTTTACATTTTTTACTTAAATCCTATATGTGTCTCACATATATTTCTGAATAAACAATTGCTGTCAAGAGAGCACATCTTATTAATTAAGATTTCCATTTCTTCAAGTTACTGCTATTTAAACCAGCAGGAAGAATAAAAAGAAACATAGTTACAAGCCCAAGAACACCTTAAAAACCAAAGTAATGTTCAAGTTTCAATAATTCTGTAGAGGAATGGTACATCTTGTACTTAAACCAAATCATTTACCTTTGCATTCAGAAATTATTCAACCATAAAAATCACAAATTAAATCTTGGAAACTCCCAAACCAGAAATTTTTCATGCTGTGTGTGCACCTAGATTACTAATATGGAATGCAAAGTGTATTTTAGAATTCAAGTTGCAAGAATACATTAATAAGAAATTTATTCTAAACTAAGATAACAGCTTTAAATGACATAAATTCAGATGTGTGTCATTCGTATTATTAAAATACATAAATTGACATGCTTATCTAATTAATTAATATTAATAATATTAGTTTTAGGCATGCAATGAGCTTTATGGACTGATCATTGACCATAATAAAGAATCTGTCTGTTTTCTGTCTGTCTGTCTGCCTGCCTGCCTATCTATCTTTCATATGCCGATTAGAAACATACATATATCCTTGTTCAGGTCATCAATGAATCCCTTCTGCCATAAGTGAATTTACTCTTAACCCTATCACCAATATATTTTACCTCCCCTCTGTCTCCCAACATGGAATCTGGAGGTTTTGGTAGTTGTTGGCCACTGATGATTTTGAGTATAAGTTGCTTCTTAGGGAGAGCAGGAAGAGGATCTCCAGAATATGGATTAAAAGTGCCTACAGGATATAAGCAATGCGGAAATTTATAATCTTAAAGTAAGAAATACAACTTGTTTTATGCACCTTTGAGAAAAGCCTATAGTGAATAATAAAAGAAAGAATACAGCTGAGCTAACATTAGAATTCAAGTAAATAATCATATTTATTCCTAGACAAACAACTGTATCAAATGTTTCACTTGTTTGTAAGAGCCTAGCTTAGTTACATGTTTCATTTATCTCTCTCTTGCACTGAAATCTGAATATTTCATTATATCCTGGCCCTGACCAAGTTTCCAAACTAATATATTTGATGTTATCAGCTTTCTCCAAATAGTTGTCACATTTTAATATTAACCAATATGTCTTTAACAAATGGATGTATAGAAACACTAAGGTATTCAGTGCATTGCCTTGTATTACCTTTGCACATCTGTTGAGGTTTCAGGATGTATCCACAGTTGCCATTCATCCTGAACTTGGCTTGGTTTAACTGCATCACCCGCCCATGAGACTGGTAATTTAATGCCACTGTGGAATAACCAGATCTTTGTATTATTTATGATTGCCAGAATCATACTGTTATATGGCTTTATACTCATAGGGTTATCCAGACTAAATTAGTTTCATTTAGTACCTACAGAAATTTTATCAATGAGATTTAAAGCATGATTAAGTCCATTTACTTGAAGAAGTTCAAACAAACATCTTAGATAAAATTCAGTCAATTACATATCATCTCCAGTAACAGTTCCAGTGATGGGAAAATAATGAGGAGGTGATCTTTCACTCAGCTAATGATTGTTACCTCCACTATGGGAGCAGCAGAAATGCTTGAATGGATGGTCCTTTGGCCCTAGTCACTGTGATTTTTGGATATTACATACATTTAGCCTTGATCCAATTCATACTTACGCACTTTCTCTCCTTTTTGAAGACCCTTGAGTCTAAACAAAGAAATGGATAAAGGACATAGCAGAAGCCCAAAGAGCACTGCCAATAATTGTCTTTGTATGGATAAGGAAGAGAAGGAACCTGAATGCTTAGTACAGATATTATGAAAAGAGGGAGTAGTTGAATTAGTCATTAAGGAATCAAGATACTGGGGCCAGGGGTACATATCTTAAAGAAGCATATATTTTCTGTTGTCCATCCTCCCAGGTTATGGACAAGAGTACATGGTTATGCATGTTGGGAAGAATTTTTGTCCTTCCCATAGTAAAAGGTTTATGCTTAGGTAAAAATGAAAGTGGAGCCATCTAATCTCTCTTCCCTAGCATGTGAGCACATGTTTACTAATGTCAAATTGCCAGAGATCTTCCAAGCAGTTGAAGGTAATAAGCATATGCTCGTCAATGGCTTACAGCTTTCTTCAACTTGGCACCTTCTAGAACTTTCAGACAGGATTGAATTCCTTTTGCCAAGCTGATTGGCCATTCTGGGAATTGAAGCCCAAACGAAGCAGAGGAGATCAGGCTAGGGCAGCCTGACTTGATCCAAGAACAGGGATGGGCATTGGGCAAACTGTATCAGCTTCACCTAACAAACCCCTTTATTGCATGCAGTTAGGTAGAGATTTTATCAAAGAACTCCCCACTGCTGATCCAGCCCACTGCAGAATTTCGGAAGTGCCATGGTTCCAAGGAGATAGCAGATCAGTAACAGATTTGATGCTCTGTTAATCCACAGCCCACTTTATGGGGTGGAGCTAGCCATCTTCTTTATGGGGTGGAGCTAGCCATCTTCTACATGCATCTCCATACGTAGGTCTGCACCTTTTGTATTATGTGAACCACCTTTACCCTACTGTACATGAAATGAATGTAGATAGATAATTAAAAAACACTTGTCCATGGGGTAAAGAAAAGATTGACCACCTATATAACAGTCAACACCATGCACCACTCACCAAGCTGGCAGCCAACATTCCAATATGGTAAAGGGTTAAAGTTGCTCGAGTCAATCCGGTAGGCAGATGGATAAATTCTGGTGAGCTGCTTCTGATTATAAAGGATGAACTGCTCTGGTTTCTGCTGGACCACCTGGTGAGCTCTTGTCTCACTGAAGGATAATACATTCCCCACTGATCCTGCATAATAAGAGAAAATAATTAATAGGAAAAGCATAGATGAGACAGCTTTAGTTTGCATTTGTAGGGTTTCAAAGAAAAGCCATTGTTCCACTGAAATACAAACATGTTAAATAGGTCACGAAAATTGTTCTGGTTCAAAACAGAAAAATGTAAAATGATCTTAAAATTTAGCAGTGAACTGAATTCTCACCAAGGAAATGAAAATAGGCTTTCAAACACACACCCACACACAAATAATCCCCAAAGTCTAACTACCAATTTGATATGTATACATATAATTTAAAAAGCCAATGCAATTTTAGGCTGCATCAATAGAGAGATAGTGTCAAGATCATGGAAAGTGATAGTACCAGCACAGTGTTGTACTGGTCAGACCATGCCTGGAATACTGTGTCCAATTCTGATTGCCACAATACATAAAGGACCCTGAGGGACTGGAAAGAGTTCAGAGAAGAGCAACAAAGGTGGTAAGGGGCTTGGAGGCTAAATCCTACAAAGAGTGGTTAAAGGAATTTGGTATGTTTAGTTTAAAGAAGATAAGGGGAGACATGATAGCAATCTTCTGATACATGAAGAGGTATCACAGGGAAGAGGGAGTAGATTTATTCTCCAGGGCACCTGAGGGTAAAACAAGAACCAATGGGTGGAAGCTTTATAGCAAGAGATTCAAACTTTAACTGAGGAGGAATTTCATAACTGTGAGAGCTATTAAGCAATGAACATCCTGCCTCCTGAAGTTGTGGGTGCTCCAACACTGGAGGTTTTCAAGAAAAGACTGGACAGCCATTTGTCCAGAATGGTCTGAGGACTCCTGCCCTGGGCAGGGGGTTGGAGTAGAAGACCTCCAAGATCCCTTCCAACCCTATGATTCTATAACTATAGCCCTATTCTAGCAATATATGGATTGTGTAACTTTAACATACAAGCCGTGCCATGTTGCTTCTGGTAGTACAGATTTTCAAGCTCAGGAAAGCCTTCATACAGATATAGGACTGGACTGTGCAACCAAAGGGCTGCGTGTTGTACATTTATCTATTTGCTACATTTCTTCCTATCTGTCGCTTAGGGCCATATGTTTAACTTACAACGGCTGTGTGATTCTTTATGATGTCATCTCAGGAATCCCATTGTTGATACGATGGCAACATGATGCCAGACAACCAATTAGATTGGGTAGCCAATGCCACCATTTAGGGCAAATGAAGGTAATGCACTGTTTACCTTCCCTAAATTTGGGAGGGAAATGAATGCCTCAACCCATTCACCAATGCAACAAGAAACATTTCCTACTTCAGTATTCCATGCTAATCTATCAGGACTGTTGTATGGCTGTTCCTAAGAACAACAAAGCTACAAAATAAGTTTAGTTTCATACACATAGACATTTATGTGGACATTTTCAAACCATGACATAATTACTACTTCTTCCCTTAAATTTTTGAATACTAATCAATTTATCAAAATGAAGAATTTCAGATGAGGAGTTATTCTTTGCAGATCATTACATTTAAAAGGGTTCTCTGGCTTTCAGCGTAAGTCTGTGAAGAATGTTCAAAAGGTATGTGATCAAATAACTCGAGAAAATTCAGCAAGACAGATGGTTCTAATCCCAAAGGTATGGAAAGTCTGCACTTTAAAAAGCTTCATAATTTAAACCAGGGTAACTAATTTTTCACACCCAACAGTTGTGGCTCCTCTGAATGGTTTAAGTAATAAAGTAGATTGGCTGAAGTTTAAGTCAGAGGGGACAGACTAGAGTAATGAAACCTTACTTCTATACTTTTGAGACTGTACTAAGTGCTACACACAGAATTTCAATTTTGTCTTTGCAGTCATAAGTACTTGAAACTTGGGCCATTATTCCAACAGAGATAAGTAAGCATAGTTTAAAAGTTCTCCCCAAAATTGGGATGTAACAAGAATCCAAATACTGTATATCCCTCTGGTAGTGTTTGAGGGGAATGAAAATCCTGAATGCTGACTTTTTTTAGCAATGTCCAGATTTGACAATTTTGTCATGGTTGTGCAGAAATTGCAGAAGACACACTGCATGTGTCTTCTGCAATTCATGACAGAATAAGAAATGTCATTACAAGATTCCACCCACCTCTGTTCTACAAGATAGGCTGCTAGCACTTTTTCATCTGAGTTTTGACTACTGCTCTAATGATGCTCATCAAGGACAATATGATGATCTCACCCAAGTCATCATCTGATATCCCAGCAGACCTGAATCCAGATGGCAAACTCTTTGCAGAAGATTGCTAAAGTATCATTACTTATGCATCTATCACTCTTACATAGGGATAGATATTCTAATTTAAAAAGCTACCCAAAACAGACTCTTGGATGGTCTGAAGGCTGCTGAATGAAGATGTCATTTCTGTACATGATGAGAGCTATGCCGTGACATTGCTCATCAAATATTTAATCCACATATAGTAAGAAAAGTTGAGCAGAGGGCCTAGGTAGAAGCCTGGAGGGACTGCAAGTGAGAAAAGTCAAAGAAAAGCAGGCAGGAGGATACTGGAAGGAAAACAAATAATTTTGAAACAAGCACTGTGAAAAGATTCTCAGGGATGAATTACCAATAGACAAGAATCAGAAAATATAAACTGAGTCAAAGACAGTTTTGTCACAAGCAGTAGATGCCAACATATAAATCAACCCATTTAACCCTCTTTTTAAGGCCAACTTGCCTTTGGTTTGGGGGAAGTTTTATGTACTTCAGTGGTATCTTGTTCTGTTTTCCACCTCTTACATGCCAACCCTGGGATTATAAATTCTTCTGTTACTGTTATACTAGTAGGATATGCCACATTGCAGGAATGATAAGTCACAGAACATGTAGCAAACTACAATGTTTTCTAAAACTATTTATTTAACATATTTATAGGCCAACAATGCATGAGAAATGATGGTCACTGATGGATGAGGAGGCTCAGATCAGCCATAATGTATCCAAACCACAATACAATTGAGAACCTACTTGCCTCACTGCCATCTCCTTGAGAATAAGAGTCACAATTTCTTAGTCATTCTTATTAATTAAGATCAACATTTCTCAAAATGTGGTCCTCAGAATGCCTTGTATTAAAATTCCCATCAGCCACACCTGTCAGGATATATGGGAATTGAAGTACAACACATCTGAAACTAATTTATTGCAGAAGTCATGAATATTCTCAATCTATACCGGTTGCTACATTATAGCATTATAATGTAGCTTCTATGTTATCTTTGGCCAATAAAGGCACCCCATTTTTTTTTTCTTAATTTTCTCATGAATACTGCATGATTCTTTAAAAAGCTTCCCCCATTAGTTAGCCATTGTTCTGGGAGGTCTTATAAACTGAGATTATCTTATATTTCAATCCAATGATCTTTATTCACATTTTTATAAGGCTGGAGGTAAGTTGTACAATCTTCTGAACCATTCTGAAATGGGCACACCAATGTCTTCTTTTTTTCCAACCTCCTATCTAGCCTACAACTCTCATATTCTCTGGAGGAATCCTATTCAAGTACTAACAAGGTCCAATTTTTCCAAGACCAAACATGATCAGCCAGATGTTGCCAGTATATCTACAGGACTATAGAAATGTTGCATTATACAAAATGCTTTTTGGACTGCATCCTTTAGGCAACCACCACTGAAAACCTCTGTTCATCCTCTGTTTGCATGAATGAAGGTATTGATGTGATAGAATCATTAAATGCCATCACATCATGTAAGGAAACACTTCCACAGGTTTCCTTATACAGTAATAAACAAGCTCAAACACGCACATACACACACAGTTAAGCACATAATACTTATATGTGTCTAAATATAATTTACACACAACCTTACCATCATCAACTATGTCTTGAGCTGCCACAGAATTTGTGTACACCACTAAATCAGAAAGGTCACGGCACAGCTTCATCGTTTTTCTCCGCCGAGCCAACCGGCTGAAAATTATTGGAAAGACAAGAGAAAGGATTTTTCAAAAGGTAAATGGAATTGTAAGTTGCTGTATCATACTTTTTTTTTTCTTGCCACCATGTCCAAAAAATTAATCTGACAAGCATATTATTCTTTGTTTAAACAACAAACAATTATCATTTGATCAGCAGGAATGCAAAGAGGAAGACAAAAAGGGAGGAAGAAGAAAAAGGGAAGGGGAAGATTAAGAAAGAAGGGGCTTATTAAGAGATGAAACAGTTTTCAAGGATTCCAGTTCATTTTTTAACCCTTCATTTCAGCCCTGGACCTTTACATATACATGCCTTCTCTTTACCAGTATCCAAAATTAATTTTAAAAAGCTGGACATATATCAGTTACATTATTTTGTGAAGGCAAGATAGATAAGAAGCTTTTCAAAACAACGGTACCCTTGGAACAAATTATACTTTATTAAATCCATAAACATAATGAGTTAAGACATGAAGCATTATTTGTGGGTTCTGTTTCCTTTACAACTGAATGTGTCCACATTCTGTCCCTGCAGTACATAGCTGCATTTCTTCATTTCTTAAAAGGCAATTGCTACATATATTGCAGGAGAAATGCACTTTAACCGACGGCTTTATTTAGCATAAGAAAGCTGGATGTGATGATCATTACTAACCTGTATAATTGTCCAGGTTCTTTCCCAGAAGCATTTTGCTGAGAATCTTCATCATCAGATGTGCTGTGAGATTTGGACTTTGATTTAGCTGCCTTCTGTTTGAGAAGTCAAAGTCTGATTTAACAGTATCCTCAATTATACAAAATGAGTTGATCCATTTATCTTAATATAACCCTGGACTATTACTATACAGTAAATCCTAGGCAACTTTCCATGACCTTTAATTTTTGTGAGAGATTGCTGACACACTTTTGTCAGCAGTTTTGTGATATTGGTGCTACAAGCTACTTTAAGAGGAAGAAAGAACCAGACAGAATCTAAACAAAAAAAAGAAAAAAACCCAAAATATCTTGTAGTCCAGACTTTAACTAGCTACAGTATATGCTTCTTCTCCTTCTCCCTCTGTCCAATCACTGTGTATCCCCTATCAGCAGCCTGGATAAATTATTTGTGTATTCTCCAGCTTCAATATTTTGGTGATTGGAGCTATATGGATTAAGAAAGCTGTGATGTAAGAATGACTTCCACTAGCAAAGTCTGAAAAAATGTAACATTTTACTCATTAATTTATTTATTTATTTATCAAATTTATATAGCCAATTCTGGGCGGCATGCAACAATCAACAAACATTTTACTCTGCTAACTTTGAAAGGGCATCTGCTGAAAATCAATCTGGAGGACAGATATTTTTATAAGAAACACCTTCAGGCTAAAGCGATTCTTTTACCACGTTGTGAAAAATAATTCAAACCAACATTTTTAAAAAATGAAGTGGAGAGCTAGGTACACTCATAAATTCCAGTGCAACATCACTGAAGAAGGTTCCTTGTTAGAAGGTAGTAAAATCTAAATATTTAAGTCTTAACTTGTCATTAAAACTGTTTCATTTCCTCTAAAGTCATTAAAGAAAATGTTCCATTTTTCAAAAAGGCATGAAGAAAATGAGGCAAATCTAATTAGCTGATATTATTACATTATTGAAATATTTTATCATTTTCAAAGAATTGAATCAGTTTTCAGAGGTACATTTTTCTGATAAGCATTCTACTGCATTTGTTTTCTCACAGCGTGCTGGGAATTTCAATTGTTGAAGGTGCCCATTTGCAAATATCAGACATATTTACAAAATTCATCTATGGGTTGAATGAACAACAAAACTTATTAATTTTCCTTCATAGCTAACAGAAATGAAAGAATATTACATGCACAATCAGTGCGTGGAGCATTTGCCTGTAAGCTAAAGCTAAAAGAATTAAAATCTGTTTTAGAGTAGCTTTATTATATGCAAAAGGAATATAGAAACCACAATGGTAAATATTCCTTGTTCTGCAGTCCTAATTTAGCAAATTCCATACAACACAAGAACACCTACAATTCCATGGAGCTCTTTGTTAAATTTATAATGATGCCCAGAATATAGCTCTCAAAGCTACAGATTCTTGGTCATGGTTTTAAACTGCATGAATCATATTTGATAAGCAGGTAAATGGAATATTACTATGCACATAGAACTCAACTCTTTTCATACATGAAGGAAAGATTAATGTGCAACTTTTTCACAATTATCGGACTGGCACTCCACTCCACCTCATTGTTTTATTGTCTACCCCATGTGCCTTTACTCTTTTATGTTTGTTGTTCAATGACTGCAATAAAGAATATCAATCAACTATTATCTATCTATCTATCTATCTATCTATCTATCTATCTATCTATCTATCTACCCATTCATTCATTCATTCATCAATCATTTACTAAAGAGTAATCCCACATATACATATACTAATATTAATTTACAAATCTCAGGTAAGCTGACAGAGGATTCTCAATAGTCTCCATACTAACCATGTCTGTGTGTATTTTACAAGTGTTATTTGGGCAAATTCTCCATCCAATTTCAAGAAATGTACAATTAGCAATCATGCTGGGATGAGGGGGATATAAAAATGCAAATGCCTCCAGTAGTAGGTATCATTGCTTTAAAAAGCAACAAATATTCCAACCAAGTCTTGAGTACAAAAATATTCTGGACCCATGTACGTATCAGCAATGTTAGAAAAGTTTTTTTCCAGAAACTTTTTCTTGCAAAAGTTTGCAATGGATCTCTCCAACCTCCTGTATGCTGACCTCACTTCTACTGAAATGCAGAAGCAAATATACTGCTCTTACAGATTAGATCTGAATTGCCATTATGTACTGCAAACCTATTTTCACCCCCTCTATTCAAAACACAATTGTCATTGATGGAAAAATCAGGATAGTATCACTTTATTTCAGTTGTACCATAATACTTTTCTACAATAGGCAGATTTATGTCTTATCTGCAACACATCTTTTTTTTTCCTCATTAGGGATGAGAAATCAGGTATTTATTAAATTCTGAAAGGACCTTTCTTAATTTACTTACTTTGAGTCCCAACTTTCCCAAAAAGGAATTCAAGAACCTATATATTTTTTGCCTCTCTCACCCCTATTTTATTCTCTCAGCAACTCTGCAAGATAGGTTAGTTTACGAGATTCTGGGCTTACTCTGTCCCAATGGAAGGGACAGAGCTGAATCTAACTGTCACACCATAGAGCCACTACGGAGTAACAATTACAAATCTAATAATTTCATCTAGTTCACATTTTGAATTATCAGACAGATTTGGATCCTATCAGTGAGCTAACTCCCCAAACATAAGCAAATATTCTTGAAAGCTGCAGCTTTTCTTTAGGCTCACCCTCTATTTAGATGGTTAGTGCAGGGTGGGGGTTGGGAAGAAAGGATTCATAGTCTTATTAATGCTTACCTTATGTTTACCGAAGCTGCCCATGAGTTTACTGTGGGATTTTCTGCTAGTGTCCTTCAAACCCGAATTCTGTGAAAAACGAAATAAGCAATGAATTCACAAAAATCATTTTCTAGTTTAATTGATTAGCACATTTGCTCCTGCATGAATTTGACCGTCAAGTAAATTGATTAGTAAATCCAGATTCTACTCCAAGAGGTTGGTTGGTAGAACCCCCCAAAATTGTCATCTACAGCAGTGTTTTCTGATAATTTTAAGGTAAAGTTTTAGCAGATATTAGATTACCTTAGGATTTCAACTGTTCAAAATCTGTGAATTCTTAAACTTTTCAGTCCCAAGAAATAACAGTGTAACAAAACAGGTTGAGCATAGCAATGGGAGTAGTCATAACTGGTACAATTACATATTCATTTTTATTGCATAAACAAGTATATGCCATATTACCATGCACAGAAATAAAGATTGTGTGTGTTATTTAATTTGCTATGATATTTGCGTATCATAGATACATTCAACAAATAAAATACCAATTAGAAATCTAGTGCTCCCAAAGCATTGTTTTGGACTCAGATGCTTAAATGAAATCAAACTAAACATTATCCAGATGGACAAATCAACCAACCCTGTGCTTTGACATTCTCAGATAAACAGGAGAGGCAAAGAAGAAGAAGAAGAAGAAGAAGAAGAAGAAGAAGAAGAAGAAGAAGAAGAAG